GGTCCCCACCCCACAGCCCGGTTCTTGGTAGCGGCTTCGAGACGCTTGCGTGCTGCAATTAGCATAATTATTAACGGTACAGATATCCTCCAGCTATTTAAAACAGGAGATAATTTGCTCTGTTAATATACATACACTTACACTGAGACGATAATAATAAAAAAATGGTCTTTTCTAAGAAACAGAAGTGACTTTTTGGAACAAGTGTCCAAAACCGACGCTGGCCTCGGGCATGTAATTACCCTCAATGGGGTAGTAAAATATCATTCAGCTTTTCCAGCCTTCATCACAGCTAAAAGTGGAAGAATAGATGTTTAGCCCGGGGACTCAAATAAATGGGCAAGTTACTGGGAAAGGGATTTGCACCAGTGGTTGTAATAGCGGCGCTGTAAAGCAGCAGGTTGGGATTAAAGGGGCTGAGATAAATGAGCTTTGGCTAAAAAGAAAAAAAAATATCTCAAGGGAAACCAAATGCTTGAAAATCTGAGGATGAGTATTGCTTCCCAAAGAGTGCTGGGGTAAGCCTGGCCATTAACGCGGCGCTAGGGAAAATCTTTGGATTCGAGGGAGGGAATGACGCTCTGGTGCGGGGACGATGGAGAAATCCGGCAGGACCTGGGTCCCGGCTTTGCCATCAGCTGAGATGCGAGGCGGCAGCCGACAGCCCCTGCCCGTGATAAATAGCGGGGAGTCGCTGGCTTTGGGCATCCCTGGGATGCTCCTGCTCCTCCCCGGCTGAGGGAGCAGCGCGAAAGACCTCTCACCGAGGCGACAGCTTTGTCCTTTCACCAGAAGAAATCATGGGATGTTTCTCCCTAAACCCTAACTGGAAATACTTCCTATCTCAGATAAAAATCCTCCAAGCTGGTGGCAGCTGGAAATATTTCCTATCATCTCAGATAAAAATCCTCCAAGCTGGTGGCAATCCCACTCGCTTCCCGTTTCCCTTCCACGGTGTAAAGGTGGGGACGAAGCCCGGGGAGGCTGCGGGAAGCTCTGCCTTGGGATGGACCCTCCAACCACGGCGCCTCCATTGAAACCACAAGCCCAGCCCAGCATCCAAGACCCGCCGTGGCAGAGGTTTCCTTCTCGACCTTCCCTGCTCTTTCTTCCCCTTTCCTACACTCTCACGGAGCACCTGGTTCGATGA